GAGAGCGGGTGACCAACAATGACAGCGAGCCAAAGAGCCGCGTAATTATCACGCCAACATGCAAAACGGATGACGAAATCGCAGACAGTAACGACTAAGATGTCGACTGGCAAACCATCTTCGTATCACTTGCGACCAAGAGAGCTGCAAACTTTAGTACGCATGTGGTCATTAAGATCTACAAATACTGCGCATCTTGCGCCCCTAACACCTCCGTCTGCGAGTTTCTCTGATGATGGGCTCGAGCGAGAATCCGAAGCACCAGGCGAATAAACTTCTTCCAACGATCACAACTTCTGATTGATATTCATTACAACAGAAGTCGGCAAGTGCCCACACCTTAATGGCTTAAATAGACCAGATTACAATTCTCGAAGTCAATGTGGCCTGTATATGGACCGACACGAACGTTGCAGGTCCTCACCGGCAACCTGAGTCTTTCCATATGCGCAGTAAGGTGTTTTGGGGGCATAGGAAAGATAACATTCCTTAAGTAATGCCTAACCTGCTTAGAAATCAAAATGAAGAAAAAGACGAATACTGCAACTTGCCTCCGGTGTTTGCAGAGGCGTTCGAAGAGATCCAGGGTCTGGGTGTAATTTGAAATTAAAACAACCTTATCGTTGGTGGTAGCACGAACAAGGGCCAAGATGCAATCCAGCACTTGAAACTTCCCTAAAACAAAAAATACATAAACATACACATCTGTAATTCCAACAGAGGATAAAAAGGCAAGCAGTTAGCATACAGTTTTGATCTGAGGCAGAACTCGACAAATTGCAGGCCAGTCGCCTGTCTACAAGTGAGACAGCTGGCTCCTCTTAAAGTTTCCTATGCGAAGAGATATACGCCTAGCGTGGGCTAATAGATTAGATTTTTTTACAAAACATGCGAAAATTTACTCCCTGAAATCTGATGGTAGACGCAGTTGCGACAATACAAAAAAGCAATGTGCAGGCTTCACCTACCGGACAATTCAGGTGGAGCAGGTCGATTCGTGTTGAAACTGGTAGCGTATCCAGGAGGAAAATAGGCGGCTGTACCCTCGAATCCGTCGGTACCGGCAAGGATCTTGTCGTAAACCAGGTCCGGATCTAGGTGGGCAGAAAGTATACCATGGAAACACTGATCAGAGCGGTAGTAACATTGCACAGCAGTGGTAAAAAGCAACCTTATCTTCTTGGACGTCGTTTCACTTGCGGGTAATATTACCTTCGATGGTTCAGCCCTAGGAAAAGTTGATGAAATTGTCTTTTCGAAGTCATTCAGTATGCCTCCCAGGGGACTGCTCAAATTTATAGATTTGTTTAACTCGGCAAACTTTTTGTAAACACTGAAAAGGCTGATTACGAACGTTTTTATAAAGGACTGTATTTTTAAGAAAAAAGGATGATACTGAAAAACGCGCCCGTGGAACGATTCTTAGCTAAATGGGTTTGAGGAATATTAAGTTGCAGCTAACGACATCGACTATAGCCAGAACTAGGTCTGTTCTGGGACTCAATCCATCCAGAAATACTGTTGTGCACGACCTGTGGCCAGTTTACTTACTTGTAATTTATACGGCTTTAAACATGCTCGACTTATTTGATCCCAATAATGTCAGACACGTTACCACTTCTACACGTACTACGACCGATGGTAGCGAAATATGGCAAGTTCGACAAAATTACTTCCACAGGTTAATGTCATGCGCGGCTGCGTTGAGCTCGATTTACACCTGGTGTTATTTCCGGCTGAACAATTTTGAAATTCTCCAGCGAAAACTCCCGTCCGACCTGCAAATGATGGTTTACTCTCTTACGAAGGCTGTCCCCTTCCTCGAATGCTGGCCACCCTCTCGTGTTTACCTTTTTAAATGACTGAATACTCCTCCACCCGGTTTCGGCTCCCATTTTTCCCATTTTCACATGGTGATCAAATCCTGTGAACTGACTGTGATAGTCAGCCCGCCGTCCGTTCATCTCTCCCCCTTCTTGACCCAGCTGCCGCGGCTACACTGAGAATCAATCGTCCAGTCACCTCCCGTCGCTGACGCTTTCATATGGCCTCTGTTCATGACTCCCCTCCCCGTTCGCGCTGGTGTTTCACACCAATCCTGATTCTACGTTAATTGTCTTGTGAGACTATATAAAATGCGGAGCCACTCCCCTCTCCCACTAGACTAGTTTCGTCCTGTC